AAATGCTTCATAAATTATCTCCTGCGCGTGTGGATTATCACTTCATAATGCGAGTTAGCATTTAAATAAATAGCTGTGGTGTAGGAAATTAGAGAGGTTTACTTCTGAGGCGCTGGCATAATGAAGGAAAATACCAAGGCAGCCGAACAGGGGTGGGGTGGGGGCGACAGAGGCTCCTGGAGCTCCTGGAGAATATGAGTTATCTGCACATCTGCACGCTCTTTTCTGTATGTAGGGAGTTTCACCGGCCCATCTTTTAAAAAAATGTTTTTCTGGTTTTGAAATAATTAGAGATTCCAATGAAATTGCAAAGATTTTAGAGAGAAGGCCTGAGAAGCCCCCCGAGTCACCCCCAGAGGTGACAGTTTAATAGCTAAGGGAGTCACAAAGCTGGGAGAATGATGTGGTCTAGCCACAGGCCTGACTTTCATTCTGCCATTTGCTCCATCATTTTAAGGAAGTGTTTCAGAAACACCCAGTGTTCGGGAGCCATGGTCCCAGTGTAAGTTAGTGAGCACCAAGGACACACTGAACGGCCCAGCAAGGAGGTGCCCTTGGGTCCCACTTGCAGATGAGGACACTGGGGTTCTCTGGGGTAGCCTCTTACTCAGATCCCTTATTGATAAGTGCTGGAAAGAGACATGGGTCTTGAAAGCTGAGTTGACCACCCGGAGGTGACCAGTTGGTTGTTCTTATACCTTTATGTTCTTGGTGTCCTCTCTGTGAGAGGGTGACCTGAAATCTGAGAGACTTGTTCTCTGTGAGGAGTGTGTGCACATGCACGCGTGCATGCGCTCACACACATACACACACACACAACACAGGGACAAAAGCCAGCATGTGCCCGTAATCTCAGCACTAGGGAAGTGGAGGCAGGAGGATTAGGGTTCTGGGAGTTCATTGTTCTTCCTGGCATATTGAGGCTGGTCTGGGTTGTTGGAAATCTTGTCTCCAATAGCCAAGAGGAGGAGGGGAGAGAAGAGAAAGAGAGAGAGAGAGAGAGAAGGAAGAGGAGGAAGGTGCCATGGTGGCACGGGCCATTTCCCAGGCAACCATGCTTCAAGCATTTCACGAGCGTTGGTAGACCCACAAGCAGAGCCCCAGAACAGTGGTCAGTCTCTGTTCTGTGACCACAGTCTTCTTCTTTTTCCTTCAGGAAATCACAAGTTTTGGGGACCTGGAATCATGTCTCTCGCTTCCATATTGCCTTTACTATCCACAGGTGACCCAGGGCTATCTGTGAAGTGTGCGTCCCCGGGGTCCCACAGGAGGCCTCTGTGGGGGGATGGGCAACTCCCTTCAGCAGATGCTCGCCGGGCTCTTTGTTGTGGGATGAAAAGGCCAATCTGCAGCACAGGCAATGGCATGACAGGTGCTATAGCGAGTCCAGATAGTAGGCATGTGTGGTCACAGTGCACAGATGCCACCGCTAACATGGCAGGCTTATAGCCCGATTTTCCCGTTTGGGCCCATATAATCCGCAAGCTCAGTCTCATTCTTGGCAGGCACTCCCTCATCTGAGTCTTAGGGAAACCTCAGAGGCATTTTCCCTTTGGCATCCCTCATTTACCCCTGATGACTTTGTCAAGGTTATTCAGCTGAGGCAGAATAGAGCCCCCACCCCCAGATCTCATCTTTGGTTTGAGGAGGAATAAGTGGAATGTGGTAGATGCCTTGCCTTGAAGAGGGTGGCTCCCCAGTTCTCTAGACTCTGTTTCGCAGTCGTCACTGTCATGAAAGCCTTGTGCACCCAACTCGTTCACTCACTCAGTCTGTCACACCTCAGCTGTGGTCCTGGATCCCCTTCACCTCAGGGAGGATCCACACACTGGAGGGAAATGGGATAAACATGGCCTGGCATTTCCCGGCTGGTTCATGTCACTCAAGTATGCGGGGGGGGGGGGGGGGGGATCAAAGGCTGGCCCTGGAATGTTCCAAGCCCTTTGAAGCTGGTAACAAAGGCGTTGTAGAAAGTCCTATCCTTAGAACCAGAGGGCTGTTCACAGATGAAGCCGCTGGGGTCCAGTTGCAAAGGGAGCAGAGAGGGGTCTCAGCAGGAGATATTTCTGCACAGACAATGGTTAGCAGGCTATCAAGTTGGTGACAAGTGGGTTTGAGGAGCTAACTCAGGCAGAGCCAGCCTTGCAGCTCAGAGCAGGTTGACAGGGTTTACCAGAAATACCAGGGCCGTTATCTCTGAAATAGGTAGGCAAAACTGGGTGGGACTGCTTCTGCCTCTCCCACCGACCTTCTAATCATGTTCCTTCAACTGTTATATCCCTGACCCTTGTAAAAGGATCGTGTGAAGGCGTGTTCTAAGCTGCATTTTAATAAGTCAATAAGAAAGCTCAAAATGATTTAAGGCTTCTTAAAGAGCTTATATTTGATTTCTTGTGGGAATTCTGGGCTGTAGAATTGTAAAATGCATAGACCTCCCCAGGTTGATTCACAGGAAGGTGATGTCATCTTAGATTAAAAAAAAAACAACGAAACTTTTCATTATTTTATTGTTTGAATAGAGTTGACCCAGGTGTTTTTCTCCTGTGGGTGACATCATTGGAGCCTGAGGTCCTCAAGGAAGGAGGAACTCATTTTGACTCACTAGCAAAGTGGCGTGGTCCTTTAAAGCCTCACTCCCGGCCTTGGAAACCATACCTCCCAGGCATCCAGCAAGGGACAGGATTCCCCAGGCAACTGCAGGACAGGGAGGAATGGTTAGCATCTGGGAAGCCAGTCTCTGGGTCAGAACTGCCGACTTCATTCTTTTTTTTTAAATTAATTTATTTTTATTTTGTATACATTGGTGTTTTGCCATGGGTGTCAGGTCCCATAGAACTGGAGTTACAGACAGTTGTGAGCTGCCATGTGGGTGCTAGGAATTGAACCCAGGTCCTCTGGAAGAGCAGTCAGTGTTCTTAACCACTGGGCCATCTCTCCAGTCTCCCCCGGCTTCATTCTTGATCCCACCACTGAGGTCACTTGGCATCAGGGAATGCAGGGCTCCTGGAAGTCCAAAGTCACACTATCCGATAACCCTGTCTGGATTTCCCTCTGTGTGTTATGATCTGAGTGTGCTCTGCCAAGGAGAGCACCAGGAGCACGAGACAGAAGGGGGTAGAGCATCCACCACTGAGGATCAGGAAGAATAAAGAATTCACATGAAACAGGGCTGGCAGCTTCTCTACAGGGAACATTTCTGAGGAGGTCAGAACCCCTCTTGGTTGGTCACTGCACTGGCAGGGTCCATGGAGTTGCTGTCCCTACTCAGACCGTAGCAGGCTCCTCTGAATGGTAGTAGGGTTACGGGTTGTGGCGCCAAGTGGTTGGAGATGTAGGAGTTGAATAGTGTCCTCCCAGAAGATATATCCACATCCTAATTCCAGCCTCTGTGAATAGGACCTTATTGATAGAGGGAGTCTTTACAGATGTCATAGGTTAAAGTTCTTAGGATACCACACCCCATCTAAGGTGACCTGATAGGGAAAGAAAGTGAGACTTAAGACATACACTCTGGGGTAGAGCCACATAAGACGGGCAGACACTGGAGTTATGGTATGGTCAGAAGCTGAGGGCTGAGGGATGCTGGCAGGGAGGTAGGGAAGGAACCTTAAAGCTAACGCCTTGGGTAGACTGCTGACTTTGAAGTAGCACAGATATGCTTGAGTGTTTTTTTCTGTAAGTGCTCTTTTGCCCCACATTCAGCTTGGGCCCTGCTCCCAGCTCCCTCTTTAGGGTCCTTTGCAGGCCAGGCAGACAGGGGGAAAGCAAGAACAATGCAGACAGACAGAAGGAGGAAGCCTGGGGCCGGGGCTGGGGCTGGGCCTGGCGCTCTTTGCTTGGCATTCGTGAAGTTCCAATTCTGTCCCCAGCGCTGCATAAACCAGGGGCAGTGGTGCATGCCTGTAATCCCAGAGCTTGGCAGATGGAGGTGAGAGGTTCAGAAATTCAGTGGCATCCTCGGTTGACCCTAAGCGAGTTCAAGGCTAGCCTGGTCTACCTGAAACTCAAGACAAAAGGATGAGGAGAAGAGGAGGAGGGAAGGGAGGAGGAGAAGGGGAAGAGGAGGATGAGGAAAAGGAAGAGGAGGGACTGTTCTGGGCAGGCTAGAGAGGGAACTCTAATCTCATATTATGAAGGAGAAGCTGTGGCCAAGCTGGGGTCAGTACAACAGCCACTCACTGTCACAGTCATTCAACTTGTCCTAGCCCAGAACACGACAATAAATCCCCAGCTGCACTTTTTCTTGACAAGCTTTTGGATGGAGACGGGGTGAGGGCGAGGGGCCAGGCCAGTCAGTATTGCCCTTCTTCTACGTCTACCTGAGGCGCTGTACTCTGGGTTAACCTAGCAGGCCTTTGTCGGCAGCACGCTGACATTCCCAATAAAGCTCTGACCCAGCTGTTGGGTGGTGGCCTCTCGTCCCACCTAACTTAAAGGTCTGTATTCACACTAGCTGGTCCAGGCTAGCAGTGCAATTTATAGAGGAGGCTTTGGACCACATAATATCAGCTAACCTTTGGATGGCCAGAATCAAAGTTCAGCCTCATAAGGGGCCAGCCATGTCTGGGTACTAGTTTTTAATAATGATAAAAAAATATTCTGGGTTCTGGGGCAGGAAGAGATGGCTCAGTGGTTCAGAGCCCTTTCTGCTCTTCCAGAGGAGCTGAATTCAATCCCCAGCACCCAGGTCAGGCAGCTCACAACTGCCTATAACTCCAACTCCAGGGCATCTTGTACCTCTTGGCTTCCACAGGCCCACATACAGGTGGCACACACACGGACACACACAGGCACACACAAATAAAGAGAAATACTAGTTTTTTTTTTAATTTATTTTTCAGTTTAAATTTAGATAAGAAACAAGGTTGCTTCACAAGTCAGTTCCAGGTCCCTCTCCCTTTCCCTCCCCTCCTCCCGTGCCCTTCCCCCAACCCCCCCATTATCCCCTCATTTCCCCAGGGAGGGTGAGGCCCTCCATGGGGGGGGTCCATAGTCTGTCATTTCATATAGGGCAGGGCCTAGACCCTCCCCCAAGAGTTCAGGGTGAGAGTGCATCTCACATTGTTGGATGGGAGTCCAAAGTGAAATACTAGTTTTTAAAATCTCAGATTCTGAGACTAGAAGTAAAGTGTTTGCTGCATAAACACGAGGGCTTGAATCCGCCCCCAGCAAACATGTGCCTGGCATCATTCACACCTGCAACCCCAATACAGGAAAGGTAGAGGCATGGAGATCCTGGGCTCGCTAGCCACACAAAACAGCCCAATCAATGAACTTCAGGTTCAGTGAAAGACCCTGTCAGAAAAAAATTATGTGGAGAGCGATAGAGGAGGACATCTGATGTCAACTTCCGACCTCCACATGTATGTACAAATGTGTCCATGCACACGTGTGTGGTGTGTGAATGCATACCACACGTACAAAGATCCTGGACTCCAAGGCTCAGGTCATCTTCCCTGGGGGGGCAATCCTGTGCATGCTGTCACCCACTGCTGGTCAAAGGAAATGCTACTTGGCCCACTGGGTGAAGCCACTGCTGGTGGTCCCTGGATGCCTTTTCTGTGGCTGATTCTCGTCTTAGTATGGCAGAGCATAGCTTCACATACAGTGGCTTTTCTGCGTTCAGTGGGTCAATCTTATGCATTGTCAGAGCTGAAGACCGTCTTGTGTTTGAATGACAGTTTCCCCCATCGCATGTCTCAGCTCATCTTGACGGTGTGGCATGTCCGGAGGGCTCGTTCCAGCATCTCCTCTGGGTCTTGTGTTCTGTTACCTCCAGTGAGACAAGAACAGCCTGGGTCAGATGACCAGCCAGAGATCAGCTAAGGAAGGGGACACTCTGGAAGTCCCCGGGGAACCCTGGGTGACAGCTGGTCTCTTCACTGAGGGTGAGACAGTAGGAGGTGACTTGGTTTTCCCTCAGTGATCTCCCATGGCTCTGAGTGTGTGCTGAGCCCTTTGGGCTTCTATAGAGCAGGGCAGACTCCTTTCATCACCCAAATCCCTGGATTCTGGTTCTTTGGGCAAAATGAAACTTGCTACTGAATAGAGGAAGCTCCCTGATAGCCTTGCCAAGGTGTCCTGTGTGAAAAGATACAAAAGAATACCAGGTCCCACCGAGGCAGGTCCACTATGGACCTGAGGTGTGGTGGAAAGACCTCCAGCCTGATGGAGAAGCCAAGCCAGAGCTAGCTGCTCATTTCACTGGCCCTTTAAAACCCAAAGAAGGGCTTCATTTGCATTTAGATCTCCTCACTCCCTCTTTTCATCTAAAGACAAATCCTCACAAAAGGCTGCTTAATTAGACCAAATTAGATTTCCACTCAGCCGCTTGTCATTCATTACAAAATGCTGTTCTTTTTTCTATTTTGGTAATTACAGGCTGGTCTCCGCCCGTTTTTAGCCCTCACTCCAGCCGGAGAGTCTGATTAGCATCCCTGATTTGGTGCAGGGAAGAGGAAAATTATTCGGTGGCACCAACCTGTCTGTTTATAAGTTGGCTCAAGGCCGCCACTGGAATCTTTTACCATATTAGGGTGGGTGGGGACTTCATTCTCAAGTCTTTCCTGGTCAATTGTAGAACAACACAGAGCCTGGTCATTTTCAGGACAGAAAGCTCCAGGCCAACAGCTTTCACACAGAATAGTCAGGGTACACAGTTGAAGTCTTTACCTCTATTTTGCAACAACGAAAAGCCACCTGTTAGGCCTTGTCCTGAGTTCCTGTGGCTCCATCACCCTGAGCGTATTTGGGGAACTTGGATCTTTTCTTGCATGGTTTGTGTTTTCGTCCCAACCATGATGGGCTGGCACCACCAGGTAACAGCTGGAGTCCCAGACATGAGTATGTGGATCTGTGAGACAGCCTGGACAATGCTAAGGTCTGTGGCTATGTTAAAATACCTGCCAACTAAGAGGTGGGGAAGTGGACATAAGACCCAGATCTGGCTACTCACAAACACAGTGCAACTCAGAATTCCTGAAGCAGGTGATGTGGTTCAAGGTGACAGAGACCCAAGAGATGGGACTCTAGATCACGGGGGTCCAGGTAAGCTGCAGAAAGAGGATGACGGAGTTCATGAGGTGCTGGAGATTAGCTGGAAGTTTTTAAAGATTTATTTATTTATTTGTTATGTATACAGTGTTCTGTCTGCACGTATGCCTGCAGGCCAGAAGAGGGCATTATTACAGATGGCTGTGAGCCACCATGTGGTTGCTGGGAATTGAACTCAGGACCTCTGGAAGAGCAGTCAGCACTCTTAGCCCCTGAGCCTTCTCTCCAGCCCTTAGCTGGAAGTTTTATATTTTACCATTTAATGATGGAAGTCTGAGGCCAAAAGACAGGTAAGGCAGCCCATGTAAATGCCTTCCTGAGCTAACCTTCCTATTAGATGTCCCCACACCCACACTCCTCATACACGTACACACACACACACACACACGCACACCCAACTTTGTCAAGGCAAGAAGATGCCAGTGCTGCTCTTTCTCTGCCCAGAAACCTTTATTGTCCCTCAGGAGATGGAGGCAGGAGGATCAGGAGTTTCAAGGCCATCGTTGCCATATGGAGTTGGAGGCCAGCCTGTGTTACATGAGAACCTGTGAAGAGGGTGAAGCAAGCTTAACTCCCTAGTGACCTGAAGAACACACCTTATTTTAGAAAATCTGGACCTGGGAGGCGGTGGGCTCTGTCCACTAGCTTCCGAAATCTTAGCCAAGGCACTGAGTGTGTCCCTCAGTCACTCCAGTACTCCAGAAAGGCTGTTGAATACCTACTGTGTGCCAGGCTCTAGGACCCTGTGGTGGGGAAATGGGCTTGCCCTATACTCCTGCAGCAGAAACCACTGCCCAAGCCCAAGAGACTGGCGAGTGGGGGATACTGGGGCATGGCACAGTGTAGGGGGCAGAGTCCAGGAGTCACTCCCTGGTGGTGATATCTAAAGTTTTTTGTTGGTTTTTTTTTTTTTTTGGTTTTTCGAGACAGGGTTTCTCTGTATTGTTTTCGAGGCTGTCGGTCCAGCCTGGCCTTGAACTCACAGAGATCCGCCTGCCTCTGCCTCTCGAGTGCTGGGATTAAAGGCGTGCGCCACCACCGCCCGGCAAAGTTTTCATTTATTTATTTTTAATTTAATTTTTATGTGTATGAGTGCCTGGCTGCATGGATACATGTGCACTACAGGCATGAAGTGTCCAAGGAGGTCAGAGGAGGCATCAGATCCCCAAGAACTGAGTTATGGATGGTTGTGAGCAACTGGGTGGGTGCTGGGCACTGGCCCTGCGAGAGCAAGCCCTTTTAAAGGTTGGGCTGTCTCTCCCTGGACCGCGTATTCGACTAAGGCATTCTGGAGCCCCAGGGGCGAATGAGAGCGACAGACTTTACTTGGTTCAAGCTTTCCGACGAAAGAATCAGAGGCATGGCTGGAGGAGCATGAGAGGACCTGGGCAGTGGAGTGGAGCCTCCCACAGATCCTGAGTGCCTGGCTGCGCTGTAAGAAGCGCCACTGTCTTTTGGTTCCTTGTGGTTTATTCTTCACTGAGATTCAGTAACTGAAAAGCCTTCAGGCACCAAACTCAAAGTTTTACACATACAATTATTTTAAAAGCTGCTCAAGCAAGCAGAATTTAGCCATTCAGAACTTGCACATGAGTCTACTGTCAGAAACTGGCATGGTAGGTGCAGCCCTGTAGGTTAAGGCCTCAGGTTTGACTCTAGGGTTTTTTGTTTGTTGGTTGGTTGATTGGTTGGTTGGTTTGTTCTGAGACAGGGCTTCTCTGTGTAGCCTTGGTGGTCCTGGAACTCATTCTGTAGACCAGGCTAGCCTCAAACTCACAGCGATCCACTTGCCTCTGCCTCCCAAGTGCTGGAATTAAAGGCACGAGCCACCACTACCCTGCTTGTCTCTAGTTTTTTCTTTTGGTTATTTTGTTTACTTATTTTGTTTTCTGAGACAGGGTCTCATATAGCCCAGGCTAGCCTCAAAGTCACTAAGTAACTGAGGATGACCTTGAATTTCTGCTCCTCCTGCCTCTACCTTCCAAGTGCTGGGAACACAGGTTGTGTCTATGAAGAGCTGGGGCCGTTTGCATGCTAGGCAAGCTCTCTACCAACTGAGCTATAGCCTCGGCCCAATTCTTATGAGATTGTAAGGCCCTAACTACCAACACTCCTGGGAATTCTGAGGCTCAGCAACTCCCTGACACAACAGTAGATACACAGCCTGTCTGAGCCCCTCTCACCGGGGGTACTTGCTCCCCACATTAGTGGACAGAAGTTCACTCAATATTGACCAGCGTAAGCTAGGAGGGGCCCCCCTTTCCATGCAATGACTCTTGCAGTGTGAGCATAATTTTTCTTGGATCAGCCTTCAAATCCTGGAACTCATTCCCACACCCCCCATCCAAGTACTCAGGAGGTGTCTTAGAAGCTGCCCTACCCCCAGGTGACCTCTGTGGTGGCTGTCTCTGCCTCCATTACACTCCTTGGGGCTACTCATCATCCCTGGAGGAGCCCATCATAAAACAATCTCACAGGCTGCAAAGAAGGGTGCAGGCCTCTGGCCTCTGAGCCTCCCCAGCTTGGGCTAAAACCAGCCACCACAGGTGCATCGTGTCTGTCCCTATCCCTGGTCCATCCCCCTCCTCCTCCCCCTCACTGTCCCTGCCTTATTAGCCAACCCTTTCTCCCCTTCCTGGACCCCACTGCACTCTGGGAACGGGTCAGCTGCCGTCTTAAACTCCTTCTCATTCATTACAATACCACTTTTTTATTGACATGGAAATAAAACTTACAATCAATGAGCTCTTATGAAATATACATCAAAGCAGGAGGCGGCAGGCAGAGCTGGTGGTTTCATCTGTTCTAGAGAAGGAACAAGGCTTTGGGGAGGGGGGGGAACACCGAACATTTTCCTTCCCGATTACATGATGCGATTTTCAATGAATCTATAAAGAAAGCGCAAACATAAATACAGTGTCCAAACAGGGTGATCCCTGCAGCTGTCAAAACTTAAAACAGCCCACTTCCCCTTTGATTTCTGTTTTAAGTTTTGAAATGTACATAGATCATTCTTGGCTCTTTTTTTTCTTTCTTTCTATCTTTCCACTCCCCACCTTTCTTTTTATAGGGAGTCTCTTTCTAAAATCTGATCTTTCCTGGGTCCTCCAGCTTTGACCCTTGGTGGCCAAACTGACCAAATGCCAGGCGTAGCTTTATCGGCCCTCACTCTGGCCATGCTTCCTCAACGGACACCTCTCCACATCAGCCTTCACATCAAAGCCACCTCCCAGGGCTTCTTCCTTCTGCGAAAACAGTATCTCACTGAAGTGGAAGGACACCGAGGGACCCCACCTAATGGCTTCTGTGTACCTACTGTGTGCTATAAACCTCTCAGTATTTTCCAGCCAGGATCTCTCCATCCTTTTCTCTTGTTTCCCTTTCTGCTTTCCCCTCCTCTCCCTTTCCTTCCCCTTTCTTCCCTTCTGAGTAGTGGGGATGGAATGTGGAGCCCGGGGCCGACAAGAGCCCTAACCCTGGTCTCCTTCTCCAGCCCTTGGCTTTCTAGGACAGGTTATCCCCATGTAGCTCAGGCTTGAACTCACCACCTTCAGGCTGCTGAGTGTGGGGATTACAGGTATGTGTCACCACACCCACATGTATCGATTCACTTTTTTTGAAGGCCTTCCAGCGGAGTCTGGCTTGGAGACTGTCACTTGCAGAGCATTCCTGGCTGGGTCAGGATGAGGGGCTTCATCATGAGGGACTCTCCCTCCTCCATGTCTTCTCTCTTCATTATCCACTGAGTTACGCCTAAACTCCCTCTGAGCCACAAGGGATGGAAGCCCTCTGAGAAGTCACTCAGCTCCAGTGTCTGGGGTGCTATGGGGATAAGACTGTACTGATGACTCCACGCTTATGGTGGCCAGCCTTCCACATAGTGAATTCCATCCAGGACATCCAGGGATACACAGAGAAAAGAAAAGAAAACAAACAGGTTTCTACGAGATAATAATACAACGTAATATAATGATAAAATAAAACTAACGCATTGGCATTGGACAAAAACCAAAAACAAACAGAAGGAAAAGATCCCAAGAGAAGACACAAGAAACAGAGACCTGCTCATCTGCATACTCAGGGATCCCATAAAAACACTCAACTGGAAGCCATAATGTAGTGGTTTGAAAGAAAACAGCCCCCAAAGGGAGTGCACTATTAGGAGGTGTGGCTTTGTTAGAGTGGGTGTGGCCTTGTTGGAGGAAGTGTGTCACTGTGGAGGTGGGCTTTGAGGTCTCATGTATGCTGAAACCACACACAGTGTCTCAATTCACTGTTGCCTGCAAGCCAAGATGTGGGACACTCAGTTTCTTTTCCAGCACCATGTCTGCCTGCAAACCACCATGCCAGACTATGATGAAATGGACTAAACCTTTGAAAATGAAGCCTCCCCAATTAAATGCTTCTCCTTTATAAGAGTAGCCATGAGCCAGGTGGTGGTGGCACACGCCTTTAGTCCCAGCAATCTGGAGGAAGAGGCAGGCAGATCTCTGTGAGTTCCAGGCCAGCCTATTCTACAAAGCTACATAGAGAAGCCCTGTTTCAAAAACAACAACAACAATAAAAAACCAAAAAAAAAAACCCAACCAACCAAACCAAACAAAACAAAAAACAGTAGCCATGGTCATGGTGTCTTTTCACAGCAAAAGAAATCCAAACTAGGACACATAATATGTACACAAAGAACCTGTAGGGTAAAAAGAGGGAAGAAAAAATATTAATAAAAAAAGATAGTATTGTTTTCTTAAACAGAAGAGCCCTGATACAACATTCTAAGACAAAGAGCCTCCAAGAATCCTATTAAGTTTGTTCTCTGTTGGCCATCCACTACTGGGCATGCAGCCTATCTGAAAGCAGTTTGTGCCGGGTGGTAGTGGCGCACGCCTTTAATCCCAGAACTCGGGAGGCAGAGGCAGGCAGATCTCTGTGAGTTCGAGGCCGGGCTGGACCGATAGCCTCCAAAACAATACAGAGAAACCCTGTCTCGTAAAAACCAAAAAAAAAAAAAAAAAAAAAAAAAAAGCAGTTTGTTTCTCCAGGGAGACTATCTTGGAGGAAACTAAATTGTCATTTGTAAGTGGTTATTAATTGAAGACTGATTCTGGGTTAAGAACGGGAGCATGTGTCCACTTCTCCTTTCAGTTGGACCCCAACCGGTGCAGACCGGTGCAGACCAGTGCAAACTGGTGCATGCCCTGTGCGTGATGCTTCAGTCTCCGTGGGTTCGTCTGCGCATTGCCCAGGTTTGTTTAGAAGGCCTTGTTTCCTTCCTTGTCTTCATCTCTTCTGGCTCCTACATTCTTTCCACCTCCTCTTCCACAGTGTTTCTTGTGCCCTGAAGGGAAGAATTTGATGGAGACATCCCACTTAGGGCTGAGTGTTCCAAGCTCTCTCTCTGTCTTCATAATGTCTGGCTGTGGGTCTCTGTGATGACTGTGCAAGGTACTGACCTAGGAGTACAGCGGATTGTCATTAGGAGTCATTTTATTCCTTCTCCTCCTCCTTCTTCTTTAGAACAATAGTATTTGGGTTTACTCTTGGTTTCTGGGCTATCTAGTCTCAGGCTCTTGGTCACCCAAGCAATGTTAGATATGAAATATCATACACCATATATAACGATATGGGTTCTCTCTTGTGAAGTGGGTCTTAAGTCAAATTAGATATTGGTTGATTACTTCCAGAAGCCTTTTTGTTGTTTGTTTTTTTTTTTTTTTTTGAGACAGGGTTTCTCTGTGTAGCCCTGTGTCCTAGAATTCACTCTGTAGACCAGGCTGTCCTTGAACCCAGAGATCTACATGACTCTGCCCTTCCTCCCGAGTTCTGGGATTAAAGGTTTGTGCCACCACCACCCAGTGCAAATAAGACTTTTTATTCAGGACCCACCATGCCCTCTGCTAAGAACTCGATGGGCTTGGAAAGCACCCCCAGCTCCAGAGCCCACTTCATGATGGACTCTGATGACTTGGAGGTTAACTTGGTCAAGGTCACAGGGAGACAGGCAGCCAGAGCTGCACCTCGGGTGGTTTGGCCTCAGTTCATTCTCAATCACTAAACTGTCGTGTCCCAAGAACTTGCCAGATGATTTCCTCTTGGATCTGGATGCTGTGACGGGTGATGGGCTGGCAGCCGTGAACTCCATCCTCACCATGCCAGGCACAGACTGCCAGGAAAATGAGTCTTCCTGCCTTGAGTACGCCCAGCTGTGGACAGCAGGAACGTGCCTGTTAGGAACTAGAATTCACCCAACTTGTTCATAACACCCCACAAACACACCCATGTGCACGCACGTGCGTGCGTGCGTGCGTGTGTGTGTGTGTGTGTGTGTGTGTGTGTGTGTGTGTGTGAGCCTGTTGCCCAGAATTGCATCGCTGTTACCGTGTGTCTCCCTGGGTCTGTGTTGTGACCATGCCATAGCCATATAGGTATGGCTAGGGAGTTGCTGGTCTCATTCCTATGAGCTGATGTGAGCAGTGGACCTGCTCATTGCCTCCTTATATCTATATATGCCTCTTTCTAGAGCTTCCTGTTCCTCCTGGGAGAGAAGTTTCTAGAAATCCATTCCCCAAGACAATGAAAGACCTCATAGGAACGGCTGGGTCTCTTCATAATCTCAAGTGACATCTAGCCATTTTCATTACTTAAAGAAAAAGCTCTAAAAACTATGGAGATAGCTCCTTCCACTGTCTCCCGTTAGCACTTCCCCCCCAAATGCTGTGCCCCCCCTCATGCACCTAAACCTGCTGTTGAGTTACCGGCCCCCAGAGGCTGTGGCTCTGGGCAGATGCATCTATACACCCTCCAGCCGCCGCCTTCCTGAGTGTAATCAAGCATCGAGCTAAGTAGCAAATAAATCTCTCGATCTCATAAGCTGCACAGCGAGATCATGTAAATGCAAATGAAAGACCTGATTTCAAGCTGTCGAGGGGGGGAGGGGAGAGAGCACCAGGGCTCTGTCACTGTGACCGCCTCTGGGGGCGAGGGCCATACATCAGAAGCAAGACCTGAGCTGCGGGGCTCACAGAGGGAGGCTGCCTGCCCTGGGGAACAGCCAGGCAGCCAGGTAGGCAGGCTGTGGGTCCAGGTAGCCCAGGGCCAAGAGAAATAGTCTAAGGCTGGAATGGAGTGGTAGGGCTGGTCCTAGGGGTTTGCTCATCATGACCCAGGCTGGAGAGGCCCTGTGGAGTGCTAGTCATGAGGGAAGGCCATCGCTGCTGCCTGAGCCTGCCTCTGGGCTCTGTCCAGGAACCTCTCTGCTGAGGCTTGATGGGTGAAGATGTGCGGGGAGGCACTGACAACTTCAGGGACATGGCACCCACTTAGGCCACCTCGGTCCTCCCATCCTGGGCTGCAGTGTGGTGATGCAACCAGAGTCTTACCTGGACTAAAATATAAGTTTATTATATAAAATAGCAATATACATAAAGCAACCCTGCTTTTCTTCCTTTTAAAAGTGCTGTTATCTTGAGAGAGTATCCTGTAGATCGAATTGGACTTAAAGTGCTGCTCCTGCCTTTTTTCCCCCCCGCCCTCTCGGTGCTGGGATCAAGTAATGTGGGCCATAGGTGCTTCTTGAGGGGATGGGGCCCAGGGCCTTGTGCCTGTTACACAAGCACTCTTCCAACTGAGCTGCCTTTTCTTTTTTCTAATGATAAAAGTGACATCTATAACCACATACGGTCACACAGCATTTGTGCTTCTCTGTTCCTCCCTGTATTTTTTTTAAAGAGCATTAAGAAAATAACAGAAACATCTCTGCATGGTGGTGATATATGTAAAATTTTGAGTCCTGCTGAGTCTTTTTTTTTTTGTTGTTTGATGCTATTTTACACACCTTTGATCATATGTGGATGTGTTCTTCCGGCGTGTGGCTTTTGGTATCATTACACAACGTTCAGACAATGCACACTCCTCAAAGCCCGGGCTGCCTGGGTCCTTTGACGCATCATGCGCCTCGATTCCCCAGATTGTTTATCTGAGGCTCTCATTATGGAAATAAATAAATATCCCTATGCTAATAGCGATCACAATTTGCATTTATATTGTGCTTTTCATTGGGAAATCTTAAGTTGTTTTACAGTAATGAACTACCCTGAGTACAGGCACAGGGTATGTGTGCATTTGTATGCAGAAGTGGGATGGTATGCAGATATTTACTTAATAACTACTGGGCAATAACTGGGATTTCACCTCTCTCTGTTCTAATAGGGTGCAGGATAGGGAGGGGAGGCTTTACAGTTGCAGACCAAGCATCTGTTTTGTTTAGATGCCGGCTAGGGAGCTAATAGGTTATGCGTGCGTGGCGACCAGGAAGCAGGAGCAGCCGACGCCTTGGGGTGGGGCTGGCTCTCTTGGAGTGGACACCTAAGGTGGGCCTGGAACTCTGGCATCTAGCTCCCCAGCACAAAACCTGCCATTTTAGAAATGAACACATCTCCTCATCTGTCTGGAGCAAGTTCAGTTTGGACAACCCAAGGGCCAACGCTGGCCAACAGCACCTGTTTTCACTGAGGATACAGAAGGGTATGAGGTAGAAGGCAGTCTGGACTTCAAGGCGGCATCTTTTTGGGTCCCAGGGAACTTCAGAGCAAGGCAGTTGCCCTTAGGAAATGTTGTCACCTGTATCTGTGGTTGTCACAGGGCCACCAGCCTTAGGCAGTTCCAGGGCTGCTGAGCCACCCTTGCTGGGGGTGGTTTTTCAGAGCTCCAATCCTCGTGTTGAGGAGTAGGAGGAAGCCGCTGTTGTAGAAGGAACTGGGAGAATCCCAGGACCCCCTGGGACGAGGAGAGAGATGGTTTTAATTAGAGCAGAGAGGATGGGACTAAGGCAGAGAGGGATGACATGTTAATAAGGTTTAATGAAGCTGTCTGCTGATGGGGACAGCTGTCACCCAGAGCTGTGTTCCAGCCAAGCCACTCAGTGACAGAGGAAAACTCCGGGAGAGAGTGCTTTCAAGGCGGCTGGGGAGGGTGGGGTGGCCAGCCTGGAGCTGGGACCCCGCTCTCTGCAGCTGAACACCCCTGGGATAAGGGATTCAGGCTAGGGAGTCATCTTAAATGACTTCTAATAGTTCACAGCTCCCTGATGTGCAAAACCAAGGCCTGCCTCTTGCAGACCTCGAGGACTTGGGTGAACTGTCTTAAGAATCAGCTGTAAGAATGAGGAATGCAGGATTTGAAGGCTGATAGGACTTTATTAGTTTTTCTTCCTTCCTGACCCTCTGTCTCGCATCTGTCCAATGAGAATGCTATAGCCTCCCTTACAAGGGTGAGAGGCTGTGTGGGCTAGGACGAAGGGCTGACCTCCAAAGGAGGTGGTGGTGTTTGTTTTGTTTTTCGAGACAGGGTTTCTCTATATAGCTTTGGGATCTGTCCTGGAACTCGCTCTGTAGACCAGGCTGTCCTCAAACTCACAGAGATCCGCCTGCCGCTGCCTCCCAAGTGCTGGGACTAAAGGCGTGCGCCACCAATGCCAAGCCAAGGGAGGTGATTTTTAACCTCCCTTGCTCTTAGAATGGATCAGGTATAGACTTGTACTTTTTTTCAAGATTTTTTTTTATTTATGTGTATGTGTGTCTATGTGTAAGTGTAGCTACATGTATGCAGTACCCCAGGAGGCCAGAGGAGGGTGACAGATCCTCTATAGTTGGGATTTCAGGCAATTGTGAGCTGCCTGGTGCGGGTGCTGGGAACTGAACCCAGGTCTTGTGCAAGAGCAGCAAGCACTCTAAAGCACTGAATCATTTCTCCAGCTCCTAGTACAGACTTCTTTAAGTTTCAGTTTGCCCATCTGTAAAATGGGAAGAGAAACCCCACCTAAGGCATTCTTGGAGTTCAGGGAGAAGAATAAAAAGCTAACCATAGTATCATAAAAAGAAGTCACAGGGTGCCATGCATGACTTGCACACAGGAGATGTTTTTCCTTTTCTTTGTTTCTCCTTCACTAAAGACAGCATGTCAGTTCTTTGTTTGGGGAGGGTGTTCCCAACATCCACAAGGTCCAATAACCTGCCATGCTACCAGCCTCAAGACCTTTTCACAGCTCAACCTCACTGCTAGCCCAGAGATCCCTTTTGCAAGTTGGCATCTCTCTCTCTCTCTCTCTCTCTCTCTCTCTCTCTCTCTCTCTCTCTCTCTCTCTCTCTCTCTCTCTCTCTCTCAGATTTATTTACTTATTTATTATACACAGTGTTCTGTCTGCACATATCCCTGTAGGCTAGAAGAGGGCTCTAAGAACCCATTACAAATGAGTTGTGAGCCACCATGTGGTTGCTGGGAATTGAACTCAGGACCTTTGAAAGAGCAGCCAGTGCTCTTAACCTCTGAGCCATCTCTCCAGCCTTGCAAGTCACCATCTCTTGTCCTTTCCTAATATGAGAGGCAGGCTGTTTGGGGACCCATGTGACTCATCAAAGCTGAGATTTGTGACTGAGTAGCATGGGCTCCACAGACACCAGAGTGAGGTTGCCGTGGAAGAGCAGGCGACCACCAGTCCTCAAGTCTCCTTGCAGCACAGCGGCAGCTGGTCTCAGACACCTGTCATCACCAGTTTGTCCTCACCTGGAATTCAAGGCCAGGGGCTCCCCTGAGCACACACCTGTCACACAACTCAGGGAGGGACCCAGAGCCCCCTCTGCCAGGCTGCTTCTCTCCTCAGCCTCTGGAGAGCTGCAGAGCACTGGCTGGACCCTCTCCTTCCAGGAAACCCCTGCATTGCCCTGGGCTCCCCTGCCCTCCCTGGATGCCTGCTGGATTGAGACATGTGTCTCTCTTTTCCTGGCTACTTTGCCAGACTCTGTAAGACTTAACCATCCTGTGCACAGCTGGTAATGGTTGGGAGGCAGAGGCAGCCAGATCTCTAAAAGTTGGAGGCCAGCCGGTTCCTGGAACATAGAGAGCTCCAGGACAGCCAGGGCTACACAGAGAAAGTCTACCTCACAACAGACATACACAGACACAGAACCACACACAGAGAAAGAAAGAAAGGAAGGAAGGAAGACAGGAAGGAAGGAAGGAAGGAAGGAAGGAAGGAAGGAAGGAAGGAAGGAAGGAAGGAAGGAAAAAGAAAAAGCCAACTAACTACTGTCCTGAGATAGCTGGCCTGGGTGAGTGTGGGGTGGGGTTTCTGGCGCTATCCTGAGTGAACTGTTAGTATCATTTACAGATGTTTTGGGGGTGTGTACACATATGTACTTCTTCAGTG